ACACATATCTCTTCCTGGTGTCAGGCTTCAAGCGTCCCCTGTTAGACCCAGCAGGACCAGGGGAGAATCTCTGAGGCAGAGGTTGGGTGAAGACAGGGCTATCCTAACGGGTCGGATAGAGGCTGGTGGGACCCCCACCCTACCCTCGCCCCAATATGGCCTGCAGTCACCCTCAGATCTGGAAGTACACTCACTTCCACGCCAGACTGCTCCACCATCTAAAGTCAAAAGGGCAGCCCGACTCCAGGAGGAAGGCTGCAAGCACAAAACAGGGTAGCAAGAGGGAGGAGGGACGGTTCCCGGAGGGGACGCTGCACTGAGCCAAACGTAGCAAGATGTGAGTGAAGGTTGACTGCAAGGCGGAGGGTCTGCTCTGTGACCCTGCGTCTCATTCTCAATGAAACGTTTTTTACAAAGGGGATGGAAGGAGGTCCATCGCAGACCAGCCAGGCCTCTGCGTTTGACAGATGGGGAAACGGAGGTGTGGGTTTAGGGTGCATGGGACAGAGATGGAGTGCGAGGTGTCAGGAGGGAATGTGAGCCTCCCCACCCCCAGAGCGGAGCCCACGGGGTGGGGTGGGGGCCGGGAAAAACTGGGCTTAGAGACTGGGGCTGGAAAGGGGGCGGGGCTTAGCGGGGAGCGGCCGGCGCGCCAAGGAGGAGGTGGGTCTGGGAAAAGGCAGGGCCTGCAGGGGAGAGTCGGAAAGGCCTAGAACAGGGGCGGAGCTTGAGATGCAGGTGGGGCCGGGAGGAGCGGAGGGGTAGGGGACATGGGCGTGGGTGGGGTCCAGCCCAGGCCCAGCCCCGTCTTGGAGCGGTAGGACTTGCCAATAGGAGGCGGCGGGGCTCGTTAAGGGCGGGTCTTTCTATGGGCGGAACTTTGCCAGGGGGCGGTGCCTGGAACAGGCAACTGACCTATTTAAAGTGGGCGTGGCCCGTTCCTAGGGGCGGGGCCTTGACGGGCGGGGCCAGGCGCGCGTCCAATCAGGGGGACGGATTTAGTGCCTACTGCCCCACGTTGGGTGGGGGCGCCGGCACTTCCGTGTGAGAGAGGACGTATTTCCTGCCAAGATGGCGGCGCCCATCCGAGTCAGGTGCGGGCCAGTCTGTCTTTAGCAGCGGCGGCGACTTGAGACCCGGAGAGGTGAGATCCGCCCGCTGCGGCTCCCCAGTTTGGAGCTGAGGGAGACTTGTTGCTGGGGAGACCAAAGAGAGGACTTGATGCCTTAGAGGCGGGGCAGTGGGGTTGCTAAGAGACGTGAATGGAAGCGGGGCTCGGGGGCTGGTTGCTAGGGAGTGGGAGGAGCCTGTTGCTAGGGAAGATAGGAAGGCCTGATGGCTTTGGGCGAGGGTCGCGTTGGTATGAAGAAAGAAATGGGGGCTGCTTTTAGGGGGGATGTAGGCAGAATGGTTTGGGGTCGTGGAGGGGCACTGAGCTCCCCTAAAACATCACCTCCTCAGCAGACCCCCCAGGAACGGACCGGTCCCGTCGACAGTGCTGCCTCAGCGGGGACACCCCCTTCCCCATCACTTTCTCCCCTTCCTCTTCACAAACGGCCCATGGCGGACAAAGGTTCGGGGGGCAGCCGCCTCCCCCTGGCGCTGCCCCCAGCCTCCCAGGGCTGCTCCACAGGGGCCGGCGGCTCCTCCTCGGCGGGGGGCTCGGGCAATCCTCCGCCCCCGCGCAACCTCCAAGGCTTGCTGCAGATGGCCATCACGGCAGGCTCCCAAGAGCCAGACCCCCCTCCAGAACCCATGAGCGAGGAGGTAAAGGATGGGGGTGGAAGGGGCTGGGGGCAGGGGTGTGGCTGGTGGGAAATGGATGCGGGGAGGTCTTCCGGGGTGAGGGGCCAGGAGTCCGGACGGGGAAGGCAGGGCAGGCTAGGCTACAGTGTCTTCACTGGGGCACGTGCCGGCTGAAGGTCACATCTGGGGGGCCGAGGGAGCCGACTCCTGGATACCCCGCCACTGCGCGGCTGCAGAATAGCCTGGTGGTGACAGTAAAGGAAAAAAAAGTAAGGTCCCCTGGCGGACAGACAGACAGACCTGGCCCAAAGGTGTGACCTTGGGGGTGCTCCTCTTTTGTAAATCGGGCATGCTGTCAGAATCTTCACAGGTCTTCTTAGCGTGTAAGTCGAGAGGTCCCTGGTTAATCAGAGCTGGACTACCCAGAGTGGAGCATGCAGGCTGCCATCCCGAAGCAGCAAGGGACCCTCCTGCAGAGCACAGGCCCCAAGGACAGGGCTGCTTGGGTTCACCTGCAGGCCCTGCTGAAGGCTAGCTGTGTGACCTTGGGCAGGTCACAGCCCCTCTGTGCCTCCGACCTCATAGGGAGCCCTGGGGATGTGGTAGATGATGCCTTGGGCTGCTAATCGCAGGGTCAGCAGTTCGAAACCACTAGCCACTCCTCAGGAGGAGAAAGATGAGGCTCGCTGCTCCCATAAAGATGTATGGTCTCAGCAACCCACAGGGCAGTTCTACTCTGCCCTACAGGGTGGCTATGAGTCGGAGTGGACTTGATGGCAGTGAGTGAGGGATGCTCACGGCAAGGTTGGTGGTTCAAACTCACCAATGGCTCAACGGAAGAAGGAGGAGTCTGTTCCTCCTGAATATTTAGTCTCGGAAACCCTGCGTAGGATGACTGTCAGTTGGAACGGAATCGATGGCAGTTGGGTTGTCTTTATTTTTTTATTTTGGGTGGTTTTGAAAAGAGCGGCTTGCCGGACCTTTATACTGTGGGGTCACTGGGTGCTTAACCCTTGCACTACCAAGACTCCTGGTGCTGCCTGAGCTCCTGCTGTGTATCGAACCATTTCCCTACGTTGTTAGGTGCTTCGAGCTGGTTCCGACTTGTGATCCAGCGCCCATCAGGAGGAAACTCGCCCGTTCCACCGCCCTCCTCCCAAGTCTTGTTCTGTTTGAGCCCTGTTGCTGGCAGTCACTGTGTCAACCCATTATGTGGAAGATTTCCCTCTTTCTGTGGATAGGGTCTCATTTAACCCCTAGGGGTAGAAGGAGTAAGTGGCCTGCTCACATTTACCCGGGAGGTGGGACCCACCGTCCTTTGAGATGCCAGCGGTCAGCTATCATTAGTTGCTGCCTAGTCCCTGACAAGCGACAGCAACACACGGTGGCAGAGTGGGTCTGGGCCACAGGCGTTCTTGTTCCTGTTTAAAACACAACACTCTTTATGGTGATTTGAGGGAAAGCTTGCAGGCTAAATTGGTTTTCCTTTCAACCATCGACACATTTTGATTCGTGCTGTTGAGGACACTCCACTTCTTTTCTGGGTTAACCTCCCACGCATCCTTCTTTCCTGCCTCTGCACCTCATCTCTGGGCAGACGGTGCCCTGCAGTCTTGAATGGTTGCTTAATCGGAGGAGTGCATAGCTCCCCGGTGTTACTTTACTGTTCACTCTAGAAACCTGTGTATATCCTTTGGCTGAAGGTTGAACCCTGGGTCTGATTCAGTTCCAGGTCAGAAGGCTACTTAATGGCCATAGTCTGTCTGTGTGTGTGTGTGGGGTGGTGGTGGTAGTGGTGGTGGTGGTAGTAGTGTTCGTGTTCCACTAAGCTCTGTCGGACCAGTAAGCCTGACCCTTTTGAAGATTGTGAGTTCTGCTCCATATTTTCCTGCCACTCTATCCAGAACCTCCTGTTGTGATCCCTTCCAGAATGTCAGCAGTGGTAGCTGAGCACCATCTAGTTCTTCTGGTCTCAGGATGTGGAGGCTGAGA